GGAAAGAGTCACAGGGCCAGAAGAGTAGCTTGCTCAGAGTGTGAATCTGTGTCCCAGTGAGATGGGGACTGGTTTTAAAAGCAGAAAGATCTGGGTACCAGTCCTGCATCCAGCTGGGGCTCCCAATATTGTTTGTATTTTGCACATTGAAGAGTCATTGGATAAAATGCCTGGACATTTCATTACCTTATTTTAACTTCTTTTAAATATGACAAGTTTTTAAATAGGTCATAAAGTCACTCTAAAATACTGAAAGTTAATCTATCTACTGAAATACTTCCTATTTAAGAACTAGCTGTAAAATATTTTGCACTTTTAACAATCAAAGTTCTTTAGAAATTGACTATAAATTGCTCATTGTGTGATAACATATCAGCAAATACACTTGTTGGGTTTTTTTGTTTTAGCAGAGAGCACAAATTAGCCCTAGCAAAAAATATCCCCTTTTTCAAATGAAACTTGCATTCCTACGGAAAAACAAAAATCTTACTTACTGTAACAACTTTCACAAGCCCGCCCTATTAATGAGGTTTGTGTCTGAAAAGATGCTCCCATGGTTCCATTCACTGCACTTGGCTTCCCATTGCTGCTGGATATCTGATTTGGATTTGGCTTGTTGCTTTAAACAAAACAAAACAAAAAATGATCTCTCAGACATGATATTAATAAGCAGCTCATTAATATGAGCAGAATTTGGTTCTGTGTGTCTAATTTATAAACATACCACCTATACTTTCATAGTTTCATAGTTGGTAGGGTCAGAAGGGACCTGAGCAGATCATCAAGTCCGACCACCTGCCATGGGCAGGAAAAAGTACTGGGGTCAAACGACCCCAGCAAAGTGTTCATCTAACCTCCTCTTAAAGACCCCCAGGGTAGGAGCCAGCACCACTTCTCTTGGAAGTTGGTTCCAGATCCTAGCCGCCCTGACAGTAAAGTGGTGCCTCCTGATGTCTAGTCTGAATCTACCCTCTGCCAGCTTGTGACCGTTATTTCTTGTCACTCCTGGGAGTGCTCGAGGGGAACAGGGACTCCCTCAATGCCTGCTGGTCCCCTCTGACTAGTTTGTAACAGGCCACTAGATCCGCACTCAGCCTTCTCTTGTGGAGGCTGAACAGGTTCAGGTCCCTTAGCCTCTCCTCGTAGGGCCTGTCCTGCTGACACCTGATCATGCGAGTGGCCCTCCTCTGGACCCTCTCAATGCTGTCCACATCTCTCCTGAAGTGCGGCGCCCAGAACTGGATGCAGTACTCCAACTGCGGCCTGACCAGTGCCGCACAGAGGGGGAGGATCACCTCCTTGGACCTGCTCAAGATGTATCCGTGGATGCATGACAAGGTGTGGTTGGCCTTCCTGACCCCGTCTCAATGCTGCCAGCCCATGTTCATTTTGGCATCAATAATGACTCCAAGATCCTTTTCTGCCTGTGCACGGACAACACAGGAGTTCCCCAGCCTGTAGGTATGCTGCTGGTTCTTCCTCCCCAGTTGCAGTACCTTACACTTGTCAGTGTTGAAACCCATCCTGTTCTCACCTGCCCACCCCTGTAACCTGTCTAGGTCCTTGAGTAATAGTTTATTTCTCTAAAAAATGTTTAGTTTAAAGACAACAACAAACTGATCATGTGAACAGCTGATGAAAGGCTCGGCGATGATCAATCGATCTGCAGAACCTGTACAATGTTAGAACACAAGTCACCAATAGCTATAACATTTAACATGCTGCCCTGCCTCCCCTCCCTCCCGCCAGTTGTTCCTACAGTTATTTCTATAAAGATGCTTTCCCTGAGTGACAAGGAGAAGGGGAAGCAATGGGGACACTGGCCTGCTCTCTACCTGAGGAAAACCAATTTTCACACATTAAGAAAAGTTTGTACTAAAAAAGGGTGAATTTTCTCCCTAGGCCAAATGCATGAATATTATTACCTTTAGTAGAGAGATATTTAGCAGGTTTTCACCATCAAGCCCGCAAACCTATAAAATGCTGAAAATGACTAAACTTGGTAAAGGTCACATAGCATATTCTCTTGCAAGCAATGAACATTCAGTGCCGCTTTTAGGCCTCTTGACAGCTCTGTACCAAGGTATCTAGCAGACACCCGAAGCACCACAAATTGCCAATATAAAGAAGCTGTGCCAAACTGAAAAGGTGAGGTCTAGCACATAAGTTCCCAAAATGGTCAGGTCTTCTAAGGTAAGTTTGGGCTAAGAGATGGACAGAAAAGGAAGTTCAGACAATATGTGATCGTTGTTGTTGGACTAGTCTGCCCATGGTTCACTTTATGTGAGAAAATTTGCTATATGAAAAATTAGCTTGGTATAATGCTGCATAAAGGAGCAATAAAATTATTTTCCTTACATCAGAGTTTATGTTAAAACAAACAAACAGACCACCTCCACTAACCAGCCAAACAAACAAACAACTTATGCACACACAGAAGAAACAATATCCACATTAAAAAACACGCTACACTCTAGACCAGTGGTTCTCAGCCTTTTTTGTACCAGGACACATTTATAAACATCAGTGACTAGGCCCGACTCAGTGCTCCTCACTCCTGACCCACAGCTCCCTGCCCCCCAGTGTGTGGGGTGGGTGTGTGGGGCAGGGTGTGTGTGTGGGGTACAAGGAGGCCCCAAGCAGCCTCTTAAAGACTGGAACACTGTCAACCTGCACGGGAAAGGCTATGGGTTCCCATGTTTTTCTCCTTTAAAAGAGAATCCACTTTTAGTTTGTTGGTCCATTTTTAAAGTTTGTTCGTGACCTTTTCATATATTCTTGCGACCCACTTTTGGGTTGTGACCCACAGGTTGAGAAACACTGGTCTAGACAGCTGTAATAACTATACAAAGGCTACAGATATAAGCCATTATGACCCGCATGCTATATCGGTAAGATTTTGTAGCAGGAAGGGGTGAAATGCAGCTCCCGGGCCGGATCTGACCCGCCAAAGAATTCTATCTGGCCTGCAGCAGGTTCCTCGGCCCCACCTGGCCCAGATGCGTGCAGTCAGCCCTGCTGCCCCCCAGTGACCAGCAGGGTAAGGTCAGGGCAGGGGCCAGACTCTGCTTCTCAGCAGTCCCTACAGCGGCAGCTCCTGCCAGCTGTCACCACTAGTGTCTTTACTGCCACTAGACCCAGCCCCGCTGCTTGGGCACCCCATCCCATCTGCCCTGCACTCACTGCCAGGGACTCTGGATGTATAGGGGAAGTGGGTGGGGATTCCATGGAGACCGACCTGGGACTCCTGTGGGAAGGGCATGCTCAGCCAGACGGACGGGATGGGAGGCCAGGAGGGGAGTGCTGTTTGGGAGTGGGACAGGGGGGTAGGGGCTGAGGCCAGGATCATGGGGCCATAAGAGTGTGGGGCCTGGGCCCAGGGCACAGCCATGATCCACTCCCCAGATGCCCTTGCCCACAGAACCAGCACCCATTGCAGGGGTGTGTGGGGAGCGGATCGTGGCTCTGCCCTGGGCCCCACCCCTGCACTGGCATCACCCTGTGATCCCAGCTGCCTGCCCCATACCATCTACCATTTGCCATCTTCCAGCCAAGAGTGCCCTGCCCATTAGGGTCCCCATGGAGATTCCACCTGCCCACTCTGTCTGGTGCCCCCAGCAGTGGATGCAGGGCAGACAGGCCTGGGCTGGATGGAACTGACTGCCATCCCAGCCAGGCCAGGCCAGGCCAGCACCCTCCTCTCCCAGCTCACAATAGCTCACCAAAATTGCTAAAGTGGCCCTCCAGGCAAAATAATTGCTCACCCCTGCTCTGCAGGAACATGCAGGTAGCATAATCACCCAGCTTCAGGCAGGGTCAAAGTTATGCTAACTCACTGCTACAGGATCATGCAGTTAGGATTGTCATGGCTGCTACATGCACCTAAGCAGCAGCTCTCCTTTTCCCTTTTAAAGTGTCTAAAATGTATGTTTGTCCATGCCCCTTTCCTTTCCTTCTTCATGTTCCTGTGTGACAAGGTATTTGGCAGAATTCACAGATATGTTGGACTCTGACAGGGCCGCGCTGTGAGCGCTTCTGTTCATAACCTAACAAATACCAAACGTAAAAATTAAAAGGAATGATATTTCCAATCCAAAAGTATAATTCTGGTGTAGTGAAAGTATCATACGATTAGCTTATTATTATTAAGAATAACTCTGGGGCAAAAGGTCAAGTTCTGACACTTACAGTAGAACTATATTTGTTGAGAGGAGCAAAAGTCCAATCTTTTATTACCAATTTAAAGTAGATATATTTATTGGGCTATAAGTAACAAAGCAAAGAAATCTAAGGCCTGCTTTAGGAAGATTCCCATTGATTTTAACTCAAGTTTTCCTAAATAAAATCTTCCAGAATTAGGCCACACGTCATCATATTAAGGGCCTGATCTTGAGAGTCTTCTCTCAATGTGGAATGCTGCAGTCACTGGGAAGCAGTCAAAGGCCATAACGTCCAATGTGCTGAGGGGAACAGGAAGGGCTGTTTGGGGCCAAGACATCACCTAAAGTTGGTGAAACTGATACAGGTACTCCGTATTTATTCATTCTTAGATTTTTTTGATACAACAGGTTCTCACCCCTGTCAGAAACAAGATATAAGACACAACAGACTCCAGACCTCTGGTCTTATCTAATCCAAAATAAATCCCATGAGGTAATGCCACCTACACTTCCTTGGGGTAAATGAGGTACAACAGGGCTTGCCGCCACGCATCCAAAGTAAAATCTTCACTTCTCTGAAATAACTCAGCAAATGTGGTTGTCACTCAGCACAAGTAAAGCTCTTCCAGCTGGACACTTAGCAGGCTGCTACTGCTTGGGCATGTTTACACGTGCAATTAATGCAACACAAACTCCAGCACAGTTCACAATGAAGTTTATTGCTTCTGGGCACACCATTTACACATGCGCTCAGGACTGCAGCACATTGAGCCAGGTAAGAGCATCCCCAGCGTTGCAGAGGACTGGGAGGCTGGCGGGTGAAGGGGGAGGAGGGGGCAGCCCCCGGGGATGCTCTAACACAGCTCAACGTGTTGCAGAGGGACTGGCTAGGGCAAGAGGGTGCTTCAGTGCCGGGCTAGTCAGCAGGCAGCCCCTTCACTGAAGCACCCTCATGCCCACCCAGCCCCATCAGTGTCTACACGTGCAGTGTGGCACACTAAACAACATTGCTGTAGGATAGTGCTTGTGTTTACAAGTAATAGCCTATAGCGGCATTTATTGGTTAACTGCAGCTTAACAGGGTCACACACGTAGATGCCGAGACTTTACTGCAGAGCTAATTAGGCAACTCTGCAGTAAATGTCTCATGTAGATTCGCCTCTTGGGTCCTACTTTAAGGTTGCCCTTGAGTAGGTAGCAGTGTTATGTCTATTTTAGCATCTCCAGTGCACTGGCTAGCCTCACAGGCCTCACTCTCTCTTTCTCTGTTACTCCCTTAATAGAAATTGGACCTTATAGCTCAGGGACTGTAGGTTTTTGGAGCCAGTACTGGCGACCTGACTTCCCTTCAAAATTCTTTCTGAAATTCTAACCTTATAGATATTTTGGATTTAGAACTCCTATCTTCAGCAATGAAAGACTGTAGAAAGGAAGGGAAGAGACCTACATCTGTTGTAAGGGTTCTCAAAACAATCACCTTTTACATAAGCCAGCATAAGATATGTGTAGATCTAGACAAAACAACAACTCCTGTACACATTTCCTTTTCCAGCTGCAGCTGATGTTGGTAGACTTGTGGCTATTCCTTGACTAATATAATAATTTTAGGCTGTCACAAATTTTCTATCATTTGAAACTTTGAAATAAGACCATCTTTTAAAATGTTATCAGAGAACTAGTTTTGTCTTTATATAATACTCACCGATTAATTTTTAAAAGGTGAAATGGATTGCAAGCTAAAGTTTAATACGGTCTAGCCATTACTTCTATGATTAAATCTGTATGGCAGAGAAAGTTTGAAAGACACTATATAAAATGAAAATATATTGTATGTTGCTTGCAAACCTGAAAAGGCAAAATCATTTTGCCCGTTGGCGTTAACTTTTGTATTCTGCTTTTTCTACAATGGAAAATCCATGTATATATGGAGAATAAGATATTATAAAGCAGAGTTACAGCAGGATTTTGCCTCTAACCCTTACTATTTCCACAGCCTTGCTTGAGGAAATCATTAATATAGAATACATAGATTATGGCTCATCATAATAAACAGCATGTTTATGAAAGCAGGTATTCAGAATTGCATGTAAATCCAAAACATAAATAAATGAAAACACTATGACGACAAAGCCTCAAAATAATCAGATTTTGTTAATATGGCTCAGTCCATAAAGAAAGGATTGCAAGCTGGTCATTGCCTTATGGTTATAATGCCTCTCTTATCTCTTGTCATCTAATTGGTTTAAGAGTATACAGAAAAAAAGAAAATAAAACAACAATTATAATGGAAAATATCTGCTTTTTCTGTAATTGGTTTAATAAACAACTGCTTATACTGTACTTTGAAATGTTACATGTAGGCATATACAGAACAATGCTCAAGGGATTCTAAAGAAATTACTCTGAGAAATCTGCTGTAAAAATGGCTACAAGGGCACTACTTGAATACTACTGATTCACACAAAATTTTAATAAGTCTAGTTCAATTTGGTATTACTTTTTTATTCAAGAAAAATGGTGGGCAAGAATAGGGGGTGAATTAAATACACAGGTCTCATACAGAGAATGTCATCAGTCCTTGCCATGAACATTTTTAGTGTACAGTGCTGCTCATAAATGAAATACATATACAAACAAACCACAAGACTAGGAAAAACTTACTATCAATCATTATCATTTAGTCTAAAAAAAATGTTTTATATAGCAAGTCTGGGGCTTCACAGGGAAAATTATTTGTGCTGGTCTTCTCACAGAGGTAGGTACATTTTTATCCCTATATTATGCAAGATCATTCAAATCAACTTTAAATATTTGCTATACTTACTAAGTTGGGATGTACACTTGTTTCAATTTACTCTCTGCTTCAGCAGCCTTCAGACGTTTCTAATTAAAAAGATGAACATACGTATTTCAAAATTTCAAGCATACTATATACTTTTATATTACTTCATGCCATTTTAAAAATATTTCTTTTTCTTGGCTATGAGATTACAAAGACCTTGATACAATTGCTGACTCACTACAACTGTATTTGAGTTGTTAACTCAATATATCATTACTTAAATAGCATTACAATTTTTTTACTATTACTTGCAGCAGTATACTTAACAATACACTTTCCTTTTTGCAAATCGCATAAGCATAGGCAAAAATATCTACTTCTGCGATGCCACAAAAAACCCTACAACCACCACCATCCCGATGTATGGAACGAGGAAATGCCTTAAAATAGCGTATTTCTTACTGAAAGAGAATGAATGAAGTTTAAAAGAATACAGGGGCTGAGAAATACCACATAAAACTAGTGGATAATGAATCCATCCACCACAGTGCTGCAACATTTTCCTTGTCTGTTCAGAGAAGGTCAATGAATGCTGTGATTTTCAAAAGAAGTGTTAGCAAGTTCTTCTCAATATAAGTTGAGTGCCTATCTCTGCAAAACACAATGCAATTCTGCGCAGTGACAGTTTGCATAGAAATAGGGAAGCGGTATATCCATGTTAGCAGAGCTCTTCGTCAGAGCTAAGCCCTACTGAAAATTAGGGGATATTTCCTTTAGGTAGACTGCAGTGCTAAAATGGCTATACTGTTCCTAGCACCCAAGTAATTATTTTTTCAAAGCAATCTCCTGACACTATATTGCCCCATACAAATATACCACAATGTTCAGTGGGGCCTGGCTACTTAAACTCTTGGACTTCTTTGAAAATTGGGATTAAAGGACATGATAGCAACAGGACAGCTGCACTGCCGCCAAAATACTCGCTTATAATTTTATTTGTATTTGCTATCTATTCCCTTAAACTTAGAAATCTGTTGTATATAAAAGCTAGCATTCATAGCTAGGACAGAACTATTTGGCTTGGTTTCACAGATAGGGAGGATGCAGAAGCTGTACACAACATCTCTGAAAATACGAGATTTATATAGTGAAAAGCCTCACAGAAAAATATACGATGTGTCATTTGAAATTCCAGGATGTTGTGACATGAGACAGCAAAACCAAGGCATGGTAATTTGGTAGTTAACAGAAAATACTTTGCCTTTCTTGCCTATAGAAAGTGTATATTAAAACCATCCATTAAATGACACTATGTGCAAAGTGAAATCCTGTTTTCCATTTTTGTCACGGGGTGCTGTCATTAACCTTAATGGGGCCAGGGTTTCATGCGTTGTATTTTTTTTTGTCTGATACAACGATATCTTGGGTTGAAAACTTTGGCCTTGATCCACTTAATACATGCAGACAAAACACTGTACAGGATGGATCACAGAGCAAAAAGGAACAGAATTCTATTGTGCTTTGCAACAGATATAAAATGATAAGGGCATGACAAGTATTAAACCCTTTGATAGTCTTATATGCTGCATTTTTCAATCAACTCACACACATGCAATACATGCACAGACATACAAGGTTTTAATCAGAATAGCTCCCAGCCTTTGCTTCTGGACTAAATTAAGTTTAGGTATTGTGAAAAATAGCATTTGTTTGAAAACCTGAGATGAAATGGTACTTACTACACTAAACACACCTGTAGTAGTTTTATCCAGTAAATACTACTGGATTCACTGGGGATTCTGAAGGGATTCACTGGAATCCTCTGTTTATATGCCTTTGTACATTAAATTTAATAGATCAAAAACCCACAAACCTTCAACAAGCCCCTCAGTGCTCCTACATTATCTACTAAAAATGAGGTTGTAAAAGAACAGAGCTTTTTCCTTCTAAAACTGCCAGTAATCTTTTTTATGTATGTATTTATTTATTTACAGAGGACAAGGAAAAAGATTGACAACAGCATTTGTCAGGTCTCTATGTAAAGCCAAAAAAGTATTATTTTTCTATATCAGCCTTCCAACATCCCTCTAGCTAGCCACTTGATTCTGTTATTTGTACTGAGGGCCATGGAAGCAGAATTGGTTCTGATTCCTGCTCCCCCAAACAACTGGGTCTAATTTTTTACAATGGGGCCCTATACAATGAAAGGGTGGAAACAGACTTTGCCTGATGTTTCTTTGGACTGCCACTAAGGGTAGGACAAGGGGTGACATATTTTGCCTAGTGAAGCAGATCAACTGTGCCGCAACACATCATGCGTGGCACAGCTGATCCACTTCATTTGGCTACATCTATTTCTAGCCAAAGACAAGACTTTCTTGACCTTCTGAACTACTAGATACTGGAGTAACTTCTAGATATCACAGCAGCCCTTGAAGAAATGACACAAAATAGTGGCTTGCTAACACTGGGTTTTCTCATTGGCTCAGTTCCTGCACCATTTCTGCAGTGGTACAAAGTGAGAATAAGTTAGGATACAAGAACTTCTCCTGAGACTGTTTTAGACTTTCTCCTAGGCCTTTCCATATACAAGATTAACCTATTCTTAGGAAGTTCCAGGACTTCAGATGTGGATGGTACATAGCAGGCACAGGTCTTAGCTGAAAATATTTTGGTTCACTTTTGCATCAGAGGAAAGACTTCCTTCTCAAGGAATCACTCAACTCCTCTTCCAAGGGACAGTCAGAAAGCTCCTGTCACAGCTGGCATCTGCTTCTTCTACAGATCAAATGCTGAATATATTGCTATCATTGCTTAGGTACTGCATTTGAAAGATGATCACATTGAATGGTGACGGCACAAACAGAGATCAGGAAGATGCATAGAAAGCAGATCTACTCAACAGCTTTTTGCCTCAGTCTTCACAAAAAAATTAAGCTGCAGCCTGACACCTACTAAAAAGTATCTAGATAAGAAAGTGGAAAAAAAAACAAAACAAGAACTTTTGATGGATCTGAATGAATTCAAGCAAGCAGGGCCTGATGAACTTCATCTGAGGTGCTAAAGGAACTGGCAGAGATAATCTCGGAGTCCTTGGCAATAATATTTAGGAAATCGTGAGAGGCAGGCGAGATACAAGAGAACTGAAAGAGAGCCAACAGAGTACCTCTCTTTAAAAAAAAGGCAAAAAGGAGGATGTGAACAGCCAAACACCAATTAGCCTCACCTCAATATCTGGAAAATTACTGGAACATATCCTAAGCAAGCCCGTGTGCAAGTATTTGGAGGAAAAAAGGCTGATCACAAGCAGCCAGCATGGATTTACTAAGAACAAACCTGATCTCTTTCTTTGACAAAGTAACTACTAGTGTGGATGAAGGGAATGCTGTGGACATTAGGAGTGTGCAAAATGGGCTGTATTTGATTCAGATTTGGATTTGGCCTGAATCGGAGACTGTGATTGGATCCGTTGATTCGGATCACTGTCCTGATTCGATTCAGCTGAATCCAAATCTGAAAATTACATGCTGATTCAGAGAATCAGCAATTCAGCCATAGACACAGCTTTAAATGTTTTTTTTTTTTTTACATACCTTGAGGTACCAGGCACAGCTTGTGAACGCTGTGATGGCAGGGCGGATGGAGCGTCCCACAGGCGTATGGTGGGGCCTCCCACGTGCTCGGTGGTGAACCTGGAACCCGGAAGTGGACCAGAAGCACTGGTCCATGTCCAGGTCTCCTGCTGAGTGTGCAGGAGGGGTCCCCCTGCACCCTATGGCTCAGCAACTGGCTGCGGGGGGAACCCCGAGTGCTCCCCCAGGCCCAGGAAGCACCAGCTGCCGAGCCAGGGAGGGTATGGGGGGGCCCCCAGGGCGCTCCCCAGCAGACTCAGAAGTGGACCAGAAGTTTTTCTGGTCTACTTCCGGGTCTGCTGCCAAGTGCGCTGGGGACCCGCTTACGCTCCTGTGGGACGCCGCATCTATCCCAGCATCTCAGCATTTATGAGCCACCTGGTACCTTGAGGTATGTAGAAACAAACATTTAAAGCTGTGTCCGAATCATCAAATCTTTCTGTATCTCTCCGAATTGATTCAGAGGACTCCGATTCGATTCGGAAAGATTAAAGGGTTTCTTGATTTGATTCAGATTTGGAGATTCGGTCATTGAATCGGGCTGAATCTCTGCCGAATTGAATCAGCAACCGAAGCTTCACACAGCTCTAGTGGACATGTGTATCTGGACTTCAGCAAGGCTTTTGACAAAGTCTCACTTGACCTTTTCATAAACAAATTGGATAAATGCAAGCTAGATAAAACTTCTGTAATAAGTAGTTCTCAACCTTTCATAGACATGAGGCTACCCTGGATTGACTTGGGGCACCCCTTGGAACATTCCAACTCTTAGTTTTCACCTTTTTTTTTCACTACAGAAAAATAGAGCAGTTTTTATAAAGAACTTAAAAAGACCACAACAACAAATTTCTATTTGAAATTTCTGTGTTTACCTTGTGAATCACATTTGCGAATTTAGCAGTACTAAAATTGTGTGGCACCCCACAGCACCCTTGAAATAATTTCAAGGCACCCCAGGGTGCAGTTGGAGATCCTGTTTGAGAATCACTACTATGAAGTGGACAGACAATTGGCTCAATAACCTCAAGCAAAAGGTAATTATAAATGGATTCATGTCAGATTGGCAGGAGGTTTCAAGTGGAGTCCCACAGGGATCTGTTCTTGGCCAATTACTGTTCAACATGTTTATTATTTGAATACTTCCATTGAAAGCTTCTTGAGCAAGTTTGTAGACAACACAAAACTAGAAAGAACTGAGAAAACAGTTCAGAAGGATCTTGATAGATTGGAAACCTTGGCTGAAGCTAACAGGATGAAGTTCAGTGCTGACCAATGCAACCTTGGGAAGAACAATCAAACATATAAATACAAAATGGGTATTTTTGACAAATACAAAATGATTATAAATAATCAAACATACAAATACATGGCTGGATGGCAGCACTATGGAGGATGATCTGGGAGTCTTGATTGATCACAGACTCACTGCATTGTGATTCAGTTACATAAAAGGCAAATATGGTTTTGGA